CTATTTTCTCTTCTCTCTAATTCTGCAGAGAACTGGAACACAATAACCTTACACGAGTGAACAAGGGGTGGTTGTATGGCTTGCGAATGTTACAGCAGCTCTATGTGAGCCAGAATGCTATTGAAAGAATCAGTCCTGATGCATGGGAATTTTGCCAAAGACTGTCTGAACTGTAAGTGTTGGATGGCATTTCATTGGAGGCTGTGAGACTAGAGCAGGTTGGAATAAATCATTTCTGTGGCCAGTAATGAGATCTAACACCCCTCTTTACCCGAAGTTTGTCGAAAGCTCTAATTTTATCATGTAAATATAACAAGAATTTGTAAGTTGAACCAAAATACAATCAATTCCTTATTTTCCATGTTTTCTGTTTTCAGTGATTTGTCTTATAACCAGCTGACCCGCCTGGATGAGTCTGCCTTTGTGGGTCTGAGCTTACTGGAGAGATTGAATTTAGGGGACAACAGAGTCACTCACATTGCTGATGGTGTGTTTAGGTTTCTTTCCAATCTCCAGACACTGTAAGTATATTCATCCTCTTTTTTTTTTTCTTTTGGTACTTTTTTAAAAACACAATAAAACAAATTAATTATAAAACAACTAATCATTCTGCAACTTTATGTATGCTAATATTTTGTGGTTTTCCTGTCCTGTGCCTCAGAGAAAGACAGTATTATTTGTCTCTATCCCCATAATTTTTTTTATCTCAATCCTATAGTAGGCAGTTCAGTTTGTACTTTTATTCTCAATCACTTAAACACCAAAGCTTCTCTTACTGTGTCACAGTTGCTAGTGTCAAGAATGCAGTCATTTGCTTGTTCCTCTAACTTTGACAGCGCACCAGAACTACTAGTTCTCATTCAAAAGGGTGCAGGATATGTAGTGGGAGGAGCTCTGGCAGGAGACCTGATGACTGCTACTTGCTTGCTGCATGACTTTGAACAGAAAAAACAAACACTCACTATCTGATATGTGCCAGATGCTTTCAAATTCTAGGATGCTACTGCTCTTTTCCATATTAGGAGGCCGAGGCTTCTAGACATTAAAATTATTTTCTCAAAGTCACATAGCTCGTAAATGTTTGGACCAGAATTAGAACGCAGATCTGTTTGCTGCTGAAGCTCATATATGTTTCATCATACCTCCAGAGGAACAAAATCACTTAGCCTTTCCTGGGCATCATTTTCCTTGTCTCTTCATCCAGTGAAAGATGGACATAGGATTAGATGGTTGTTAAAGGCAATTTCAACTCTA